CCCAGTAATGATTGATTGAATGCCTAGGGCCAGGTACTGGGTTTGGGATCCCACCCTCCCAGAACTTGAAGCCTTGATAGTAAATAAATAAGCAAGTCCCCCCAAAGGTGGGAAGACTCTGACCCAGAGGATGAGCGGTGGTGCAGAAGTCAGGAAAGCCCCAGATGAAGGGCTGCACCTGAGACCAGAGGATGAGGGGAGGGAGGCATGGGGCAAGGCTCTGAGGCAGGAAGGGCTTGGTCCCCTCCAGAAGGCCGAAGAAGTCAGTGGGCCTGGGGGAGAGGGGCGAGAGATGAGGCTAGTAGAGGCCTGCTGACCACAGTCAGGATTTTGGACTACTGAAGTGAGCGACTGATTTGCCTTTTGAAGGCCTTCTGGCTGCTGTGTGCGGAATGTGGGGAGTATGCCATTTCAGCTCCCTGAGCTCAGACTCCTCAAGTAGGGAAAAAGGAAAGAAAGGGACAAGGAGAGGCTGCATCTACCTCACCGGGGCGCCGGGGAAAATGTAGCAGGAGATGAGCGTCCCTTGGCTCTGCAAGCTCAACACAGGCCACAAACCCTTCTCTGGTCTGGGACTCTGAAGGGGAAGTCAGCCTTTCTCGACCTGCCCTTGTTTTCCCTTTCACCTGCTTTCGGGCAGAGATTGACCCAACGCTGGGTAAAGGGCTCTGCCCCAACCTACCTTTGACTTTTCCCAGGGAAATCTCCCCTGAGGCTTCTTTTTCTTTTTTCCTTCTTTCTTTCTTTCTTTTTTTTTAAGATTTTATTTGAGAGAAAGAGAGATAGTGAGAGAGAGAGAGAGAGCATGAGCAGGGGGAGCAGCGGAGGGAGAGGGAAAAGCAGGCTTCCCGCGGAGCAGGGAGCCCAATGCCAGGCTCGATCCCAGGACCCTGGGATCATGACCAGAGCCGAAGACAGACACCAAACCAACTGAGCCACCCAGGCGCCCCTCCCCTGAGGCTTCTGACCCCCAGCACCCTTAACTGCCTCCAGAGGGGTAAACCCACTGGCCACCCAAGCCCAGACTGGAGGTCAGTGTTCTCTAGCCCCTGTGATGATGCCAAGTGCAGGGGTCCAGAGGCACAGCTGGCAGGGGCCGGTCGATGCTAGCCCTACTTCCCAGGAGGATGGTCTTGCAGCAGGGTCTAAGCCCCCTCTCAGCTGACCTGAGAGTCACCTGTGCCTCCCAAGGGTCCCCTCTTCCCCAGGGTTTAGCCACCCACTATCCCGATAACCAGATCAGTCAGGAGCTCTTAGCCCCTACAGGACAGTGTTTTAGGAAAGGCACTTCTCATGGAGGGTGCTGGCCTTGTGCTGTGCTTGCTTCCTGGGACAGACAGACAAAGCTAGGTCTGCCCTGGACAGAGATCCAGAGGACAACCTGCTAAGCTCTGCCACCCTCAGATGACTAGGGTCACTAACTCAGCAATGGCGTCTCTCTTGTCCCCTTCTTGAAAATTCAGCCAGCCAAAGCCAGCCAATTTGTGTGTTCCTTCAGCCAGGGCAGAGCCTCTGGGTGAGTGGAAGAGGAGCCCAGTGGAGGGATAGATCAGCACCAATGTAAACCAAGTCCTTGGGTCAAGTGGCCGAGCCATCGGCATTCCTGTAGTCAGAGCACCCGGACTTCCATGGGCATCTGATTGACAAGGTTGAAAGACCCACCTCTGGAGGGTCAGCCCAGGCTGGTAAGGCTGCAGTGAGGACTGCATGAGAAATGACTACAAAGCACCACATGTGTGGGGGCCCTGAGGAATGGCAGGTGTCATTGAGACCTGTTGCATTTCTGTGCTGCTTTGTCCTGTGGACAGTGCATTCAGGGATTTTTATTCCAAAGCTAAGGTCGTGCTCACCCACCCTGCTCCTCCCACTGAGATAGTTTGTCCTGGGGTTTCAGCTTTCTCCTCCCACCCCCAAACTCCATGGACCATGGACCTTGGCCTCACACATGTGGGTCTGGGAGTCTCAGCTCTGCTTTGTACAGTGACTTCTTTAAGCCCCTTCCCCTGTCCTGGACAGTGGGGTTACCCCAAATGCCTCACAGGATGGGTTGCTGAAGGAGTAAATGCTGAGTGCTTAGCACCGGCCTGGCTTTCCCAGGCTGGTTATGCCCCTTCCAGTCCTCAGTGTCCCCATGTGGAAGTGGCTCTTGCCTACTACCCACATGTGGTTTGCAGCCAGAGCAGAAGCAGACCCTGATTCCTTGTCTAGGGACCATCATGCCTGCCGGCAGCAGATGGTTGTTGAGAGACTGGCACGGCCTTGGGGCTGTCGGGATGGGGTGGGCCTGGGTTATCACCAATACCCAGGGTCCCTCTGAGGACTCCCTTGTGTGCCAGAGCTGCCCTGGTGTGGGGGAGTGGGCTGGGGGTTTACTGTTTCTTCTGCTTGTGCCTCAGGGAAAAGGAAATAATCAAGAAGAAAAAAGCTCAAGAAAGTGAGAGTACCATTGCCGCCCGAGAGGTCCGGGGCCTCATGGACACCATCGGTGAGCCTCTGTTCAACCGTGAGGGCAGGCCTGGCTCTCTCCCCTCGGCCTCCTTCCCTCAGCCTCCTCCCCTGAGCCTCCAGCCCTGGGCTTTCTCCTCAACAGGGAGCTGGGGAGGGGGCAAGGGGCTCTGCACACTCAGCATTTACTGATGAAAATCAGTTAGGAACGGATGTTTTTTTACTGCAGTTTCACAAAAGGATTTCAATCTACATTGTCTTCCTTTATACTGTGGAAGAAGGCTCTTTTTCTTTATGATTAAAAAAATAATACATGCTCACTCTAAGTAATCCCTACACCCAACGTGTGTTCAAACTTACAACAGGCACCCCCTAATATACACTTACTGTGGAAAAACAAAGGAAGGAGATAAGCAGAAAGTAAAAAGTCTCCCTTCACAATAACACTGCCTCCTCCCGAGAATGGCCCCCACCGTGAAACCACATGGGACATACAATATCTAGGTTCCCACATAGATTCAGGGGACAGCAGAGCACAGGGCAGGAACGCAGACCCTAGAGCAGACGGCCTACATCCAAACCCCTGCTCAGGCCATGCCTGAGCGTCCTCACTTGTAAAATGGGGCTGATGAAATAGAACGCGCCTCTCGGCCTCTTCAGGAGTGGTGATTGAGTTAGAACAATGCCTGGTACATGGTAAGTGCTATGTAAGTGTTGGTTATTCATATTTGTATATATATGTGCTTCTATAAAACTTTTTAAAAAACATAACTAGTCCCATTCTATATGTCCCATTTGGATACGTTTTGGCATTTAAATGTAGATGAGAGACTTCATTCCTTATAGCACTTAGGGATCACCTCTGTCTTTTCTCTTTTTCCTTAAGTCTGTGACACTGTGGCCTGGTTTTGGGGTCCATCTCCTGAGCCAAGGCACTTTCTGCCTTGCTGACTTTTTCTGGGTGCTCTGCCCTTGCTTTGAAGCTCTGAGGACAGCGCCCTCACCTCTGTTGTTCTCCCTCAGTTCCCCAGAGGCCCTGCACCACCACCCTTGGCACCGCGGGAATGGACTCCAAGAGGCGGGGCTACGAGAGTGCTCTGGGGAGCTTTAAGGAGGAGATTGCTCAGATTGGGATGGTGAGAGTCCTCCCTCTCCCCCCTTCTGTTCCTGGGCCATTCCCAAGCCGGGCTTGTCACCGCACCCACCCCCCCTCCCCTGCCCCGGCTCAGAGGTCCTGAGTGGCTCACCAGTGGTGTAGACGGAATCAGAGTAGCCATGTTTGAGTGTCCATTATGAGTGCTCGAGATGAGCACAGCTTCTAAGTCAGGTACCATTATTACTCCTACTCTGCAGGTGAGGCCCAAAACGTCTTGCCTGACTTGGCACGTAGGGGGCCAGGTGGGAACCGGACTCCAGGGCTGATGCCAAAGCCCAGACCTTGAGCTCCCTGCTCAGTCCTGCTAGGGCATGCTGGTCTTCCCACCCCCTGCCAGTCGTCACCTCACTCATCCGTCCCATCTGTACATGAGCTCTACTTTCGCCCATGGCTCTGTGGCTTTGGTCATGCAGCATAACTGAGCCTCAGTTTCCTCATCAGAAGTAAACTCGGAATTCTTTCACTGGGCACTTCTTTAATGAATATTTTCTGAGCCCCAACCAGGGACCAGGCCCGAGGTCAGTACCTACTCCAGGCCAAGAGAGTCTGAGGACGAGGGCTCAGCCCGGAGTGCAGTGCCCAGCACGTGGCCCATGACCGATGGAATGGGGCTTGCCCTTGTGCTCTGGCTGTGAATGAATTCGTGAATCCTAGCGCCTTAGTTCTAGGGAATGATGATCAGTTGCAAGGCAGGACGACAGCAGGCACTTCCCCATCACAGGCTCGGGGTGGGAGGAAGGGCCGGGCTCTCTGGTGGCATTGATACCATGGCCGTTGCCCTACTGGCCCGTTTTAGGAAATGGAACCTTTCATCTTGGAGCCAGGAACTCTTCTTTTAAAAAAGCTGGCCGAGTCGGATGAAGACATTGACCGGCTCTTCAAAAAGGTGGAAAGTGACACCAACCTCGAAGACTACACCATCCAAGTAGGGGTTCCCTTGTGGCCAGGCCTGCCCCACCCGGGTCCTGCTCCTTCCCTTGCAGCCCATCTGTCCTCCCAGCCTCCCTGACCCAGGCTTCTTGGCATAGACCCTGCTGGAGCTGTGGGATCAGGTGGCTGAGAAGTTCCAGTTCCAGAAGCAGGGGATCAAGGAGCTGGATGAGGCCCTGTACGAGGCCGAGTTCTCCCGGGCAGATAAAGTGAGTTGGCCTGCACGTGGGCTTGTGGTGATTTTCACCTGTGGGATTTGTGAGGCATCGTCTGTGTCCTTTTAGGTTTCCAGGAAAAGAGAGTCGCTAACAATGGCAACTTGTTGTTTCTAGCTCAAAGGCGTGTTGAAGAAATATGTGGAAATCATAGAGAAAACTTCCTACCTCATGCAGCCCGAAGTGTACAGGCTGATAAATAAGGAAGCCATGGTGAGTGGTTTCCATGTGCAGGGGATCAGCCCCCAGATAGAGCGGGACCTGAGGATGCCCCAGAGCCTGGTGTCACAGGAACGAATGTTTTCTCATGGGTCACATTTCCAGGTAACTCAGGTTGGTCACTTGGGTTCTGAACCAGAGTTTTTGTTAAGTATTTTCAATAGAAATCTTTCCAAATTACATGGCACCCATCCCTGCTGTCTTAATCCCAGTGACCTAGCACAGCGTCCCTGGTTTGAGCACAGATGTATTTTACGAGCACGCCTGGGCCCTGTCTCAGCTTACCATGTGCAGTGCAGTAGGTGCTAGATGATGGGGCTGTCCTGCTCTCCGGGTGCTTTGTGCCCTCCTAAGTGACTCCAGCCTGCTCTGTTTTTCTAGTGGTTCTTGTCTGCCTTCCTGCTGGCTGCCAGTGTCTGTTGTTAAAGCATGCTCTTTCTCCTGGCTCGTCCCCACTGCTTCCCTGTCCACACCCCACCCTTGCCCAGCTGCTTTCTTTGGGTGTAGAAAACAAAAAATTCAAGGTTCTGCACCTTGGAGTCCTGGACAAAGCACAGACAGGGAGCGGGCACAGACCTCCCTCTCCACTGCCCAGACACACAAGCTCCCGACGTCACTCTGCTCCGGCACCTGGAACTCCCTGTCCATAAAATGGGGATCACGATCCTTAAACACCAATACTTATTGGGGGCAGGGGGGTAAAAGACGGCTCAGCAGTGGCCGCAGTTGTTTGAGACAAGCAAGAGTCCCTAACTTTTATCCATTTGCTCTATTTGAGGGGTGGTCAGAGTTAGCAGCGACCTGGGGATGTTTCATTGTTTGACTTCCACACCCTTATTATACTCATTATAACAATTGGCACTCGCTCCTTACTCCATGTGCATTTATCTCATTTAATTTCACAAAATCCCTAGGCTGCCAATAACATTATCTTCGTATTATGGCTGCAGAATTGGAGGTTGAGGAAAAACCTGCCTGTGCCCCGCCCAGCTAGGAAGTATAGTTGGCGACACCCCTCAGGTTCCAGTGAAAATTGTTACTGGAATTTCTGCCAGTTGAGCTTTGTTCTCACCCTTGCGCCAGGGTGGCGCCTCGAGGGCTTTGGGCAGCTATGGAGACATTTGGCTGTTGCACACCTCGGGGGCATGGGAGAGACTGCTCTCATAAGGGGGGCAGGCTACCAAGTAGCAGAACAGTGCCACACAATGAAGAATTGTCCCCACTGCCATGCCAAGGATGCCTAGGGGAGGGTCACTGGGAGGACTGAGGAAGAATGTCCTAGCTCTGGCCTCATTTGGTAATTGGGTCTTCTCATCACAACCATATGTAACTGATCCCTGATGGCATGAGCACTTTGCTTTTGGAACAAATTTATTAAAAAAAAAAAAAAAAAAAGAACAAACAGTTAAAGAGTAAGAGCCCACGAGAGTGCTCATCTCCAGTGAACTAAAATCGGCTACTTTAACGATCTGATATGGTCTTGGGGCTGGGTTGAAAGTACATGGTTAAGTCAGGGGTCATAGGTAAGCCTTCAGGAAAGACCCCTGTCACTGTCCATGGCCGCTCAGCCCCAGGCAACTGCGTTGAGTGCCCAGTGACCCTTCAATGCCCCTCAGATGCTGCCTCTGCCCTACTCGGCCCCGCTGCGCCTCAGGCCCTCTGCCTGCACCTCACCTGGCCCCCCTTCCCACTATCCCTCTCCAGCTGAGCCTTGCTCTGAGCTTGGCGAGCCCCCGCCTCGTGTAGAGCCTGCCTGCCTGTACCACAGGTCATAAACCAAGCCCTGCTGGGCAACCGGAGGGCCATCGCCCAGCTGTTCATCAACCTCATGGAGGCCACGCTGCAGCAGGAGCTGGAGAGCCACCGTCACTGGCAGGGCCTGGTGGACGCCTGGAAGGCTCTCAAGAAGCAGGCCCTGGTGCAGAGTTTCAGGTCTGTGGCTGCCCACTCTGCCCACAGCTCTTCCCCAGACCCACCTGGGAGGCCGGCTCAGCAGGCCGGTGGCCCCGCCCTCCCTTATTGTCAGGACTCCAGAGTGCTGCTCTTCTTCTGGGGGTAAAAATATATGCTTTTTCTTCCTCTTTTTTTTTTTTTCAAGTCACAGTAGATCAAAGTATAAAGAAGAAATTTAAAATCACCAGTAATCTCTCGTCGTAGGGAGAAGCACAGCTGATATTTTGGTATATTTCCTCCCAAGCTTTTTTAGACCCACACTGCATATGTCGCCTTGTATCTTAATTTTCTTCATAAACATTATCACGTAAGCATTTTCTGAGCCCCGTACAAATTGTTTGAAAACATCAGGCTGATTATCTGCCCAGTTTCCACTCTACTGCTACACATAACCCTGTGTCACTGGGCCAAGGAGAATGGGAGTCCCTCAGGCTTTGATACCTCCTGCCCTCTGGTATCGAGGTTCACCTCGGGGAGGGAGGGAGAAGGCCCATCTCCGTGCTGCCTCCGCCAGGTGGCCCTTTGGTTAATACTGACACAAGGATCCTGCAGCTCCTGGCCAACAAGCAAGGCTTTCTTTTGCTTGCTGGGCAGAGATGTCTGAGGATGCCTAAGAATGTCTGTCCGTCTGTGCTGTGGGTCTGCGGATGGGAGGCCCATCTGAACACCTGAATTTCCAGATGAGAACACCAGAGTCTGATACCAGGGATGGAAGAGAAGTGTACTGAGACCTGGCTCCACCTGTACTTTCCCTGTGACCTTGATCAAGCACTTGAACGTAGTAGAGCTTTTCTTTCCTTACGCAGAGCAGGCACGATGATGGGCCAGCATTAGGGTTTCAGTGATGATCAAGATGCTATATGGAAAGTGACTGGTCGGGGCCTGGGCCTGGAGGTTGTTACAAATGTCAATAATCACCAACAGTGATGTCAGGAGCTGACGTTTACGGGGCATTTCCCCTGAGCCAGGCTTGGTGCTAGGGGCTTTGCTTGCAGTATCTTACTGGGTCCTTATAGGTACCAGGTAAGGAAGGTACTCTTCATTAGCTCCATTACAGACAAGGAAACAGATTCACAGGAGGGGAGTGACTTGCCCAAGGTCATAGAGCTGGCAGGCAGGAGTTGGGACCCACACCGAGATCTCTGCCTGTTGGTCCCATGCTCTTAGTGCCAGAGCCTCACTGGCAGCCCTGTGGTTCTTCTCTCCCACCTCGCACCCTCCCTCCTCTCATCACTGTCCCAGTGGCCCCTGATGGGGAGGAAGCAGCTGGAGTGGTGTAAGGGTGCTTAGGTTCTGAATGTTCTTACCACGAGTCTCATCCCCTCTCTCCCACCTGCCCTGCCCCTCCTCTCCTCTCTATGGTGCCAACGCATCTGGATACCCAGTGAGTTCATGGCCAGTGAGAGGATCCGGACTCCTCCAGCTGTGAAGAAGGAGATGGAGAGCATGCTGAAGAACCAGAAAGCCCTGCAGCAAAAGCGGCTGGAGCATCTCCGCACCATCTGGTATGCTGGGAGGGGGCTCCAGCGAGGGATGCTATGGGGGAGGCAGGCACAGTCCTCAGCATTGACCATTCTCCTGGGGCATCCTCCAGGCCAGGCCAGCTCCTTGTTCCCTAGTCCTGTGCCATCCACCTGGGCCCACGTTCTGGGGCATTCCAGCCCCAATGACAACAAAGAACACGACTGGGCCAAAAAACTTGGAAGGAGGCGTTGGCAAAGGGGGGCAGGGTGAGCGGGGGAGGAGGGGCCAGGTTCAGGGGTTGGACTTTTTCCCAAGAGCTGGTGGGGAGCAGAGTGGCTCCATCAGCCTTGCAGTTTGGAGGGCGAGCTGGAGGGTCTGAGGCTGGAGCCTGGAGGTCAGTGAGGGGGCTGCTGCCATCAGACAGGGAACCTGTTAGAGGCTGTGCACGCTCCCCTCAAACCTGGGCTCACCCAGCTCTGATCCCATAGTAAGCTGTTTGGTGAGGCGCACAGTGAATGTCCTAGACCCTGGAAGCCCACTGCCTGGGGATCCTATAGCATCCACTCTGAGCAGCAGGACGGAGCCTGCGTGGCCCTGAAAGTGGAGAAGCTTCATGTGCTGGGAGATGCTCCTCCTCTTCCGGTGTACCTTGGTTCCTCCCACCCCTAACCCTGGTAACCCAGGCTTACCTGCTTGTCTCCCCACCACAGAGCCTAAGTTCTCCTAGGATACCAATGACAATTAGAACCCCACACAATCTCCCCCAGGGCAGGCACTTTTTCATGCAGGTGCAAAATTAACAAGGTGGATAAAAATCTCAACATAAGGTAAAGTGCTTTTCTTGTTTTCTGTAACTCCACTTTTTCCGACTGAGTCCCTGTTTACTAAACTGGGCCAAACTCAATCTTTCTTGGGGTTGTATCCATCGAGTGAAGCCGTGAATCCCCATCCATCACAGGCCCGGTGAAGGGGTCTGTTCCTCTGTATTTGATCCACCCACATGCCCTGGGGCAGCTGCTGCATCAACCTTGAGGAGGCTACTCTGCACCCCTGTGGCCTCACACCCAGGCAGCTGTTTCGCTCTGGGTACCTGGGTCTTACACCTGCCCCCCCAACCCCGGGCCTTCGACCAGGAAGGAGGACCCAGGTTGCTACTGCCAGGCAACCGCAGTCCTCTCTGTCCGCCCCTGCCCCCAGCTCCCTTCTGCTGGGTGAGGAGAGAGCCCTGGTCCTCCACTCTCAGCTGCCAGCCCAGCTCCCCTCCCCAGGGCTCCCAGCCCACTCCCGCCAAGGCTTCCCCTCCCCAGTGCTCTAGGCTCTCCTGAAAACTTAGATTTTGAGAACAAAATCCAGAAAGATTTCTAGGCTGCTCTCTTTTCTACCCTGCCACATCCCTCACACCAGCTGTGAACACTGGGCTGGCTGGCTACCTGCCTGAGTGAAGGAGAGTGACAGGGCCAAAGACAGGAAAGTGCATTCCCTGGTGCTTGTGGCCCCTGCTGGGAAACTCTATGTAATGGCAGAGTGTCTGCGGGCAGAGCATGGAGCTGGTGGGTGACTTGACCTGAGCTGAGGAAGTTGGGGGCAACTCTCTGAAATCAGAGGCAAGAGTGTGCATGTACAGGACCCAGCAGCTCCTTTGCAGTGAGAGTATAGAAAGAGGGGAAGCCAGGACATGATCTGTGTCTGAAGTGTGTACTGCAAACACAAGTTTGAATGTGCAACTTAAAGTTGCAAAGCCTTGAGCATAGAATTCCAGTGAACATCAAGAGTGAAGGTTTGGGTTTGTGGTTTGTTTGTGCAAGGAGGTCTTGGCAGCACTCACAGAGCACACTGTGTAGACACCCACCTGTGTCTTCTTAACCCGCGAAGGAGCCAGGGAGCCTTATCATCAAGCCCAAGTAGCTGTCCCAAGGAACTGCCTCATATGGGGTTCCATACCCCAACCTGACGCAGAGCTCCAGGCCTTACTCCTGAAACCCCAGAGCCCCGGACCTTGCTTCTCTGTCTCTGATAAAGAGCTATCAAGGGTCCTCAAACTCCCACCCTTGGGCCCCTGCTTGTTTGCAAGTAAGTTTCATTGGAACACAGCTGTGCTCATTTGTTCACATATTGTCTAAGGCTTCTTCCGCTCTACAGCAGCAGAAACGAGGAAGTTGCAGGGGCGCCTGGGTGGCTCAGTGGGTTATGCACCTGCCTTCGGCTCAGGTCATGATCCCAGGGTCCGGGGATCCAACCTCGTGTTGGACTCCCTGCTCAGCGGAGAGCCTGCTTCTGCCCCTCCCTTGCGTACTCTTGTTCTCTCTCTCTCAAATAAATAAAATCTTAAAAAAAAAAAAAGATTCCTAGGGCTCCCAAGAGAGAGTTTTCCAAAGTCCTGGGAGAATTCCCATGGTTTCTTGGATCCAATAAACATATATGCATATGATTTTAAAATAATTTTTAAATTCAATTTTTATTTTGGGGTAATGTTAGATTTACAGAAAACTTACAAAGATAGCACACAGAATTCCTGTACACTCCTTACCCACTTCCCCCTAATATCGTTATCTTACATACAAAACTAAGAAATTTACTTTCATGCATTCCCATTAACTAGACGCCAGACATTTTCAGATTTCACCAGTTTTTCTACATTGTCCTTTTTCTGTCCCAGGACCCAATCCAGGACACAATATTGCACTTAGTATAATGTTTAGACTGGAGATTATGCTGTGTGCAGTCCTGTAGTTATCTTTTGCTCTTTACTGTCCCACCATAAGTAGGGTGCCCAAGACCATCCTGGGTTACACATCTTGTCCTGGTACAATCATTAATAGAATCCCTCTCTTCATTGTCAGAAATATCCTGGTTTGAACAATAAGTTATATGGTGGTCCTTACCATATGCATCTTTCCATACCATTAAACACCACCCAAAATTTAGTGGCTTAAAACAACAAGCATTTCTTGTTTCTCAGGATTCTGTGGGTTGTTTGCCACAGGGTGTTTCTCTTGGTCTGGGCTGGTCGGGCTGAGGGTAGATGGTCTAGAATGGCCTCACTCCTATGCCTGGAGCCTGGGCTGGGACAGCTGGGGCTTCTCTGGTGGCAGCGGCAAAGGAGAGCACACAAGCCTTTCCAACACGCGGTCTCGTTTTGCTAACGTCTCATTGGCTAAAGCAAATCACGTGGCCCGGCCCAGCCCACGGGTAGAGAAATAGACTGAGGGGAGCCCTTAAGGACATTGGCCGGTTTTTCAATCTGTCGCACTATCTTTAGTGACTTCAGAAGAGAATTCACTGTACTTTATTTAGACAGAACCCTATTGTTGGATATGAAGTTTGTTTATGATTTTTTGAGTGCTTATAAACACTACTGTTAAGCATCTGTCTTAATGCATAAACTTTGTATGCATTTATATTATTATCTCGGATTCGGTTCCTAGAAGTAGGCAAGTAGTGTTTGTCAAGTGATATGAACCATTTGTTTTTTTCCATTACGGAAATTCAGTTTTCTTTTCTTTCTTTCTTTCTTTTTTTTTTTTTGGAGAGAAAGAGAGAGCGCATGCATGTAAGGCAGGGGAATGGAGGGGGTAGAGGGAGAGAGAGAATAGTAAGCCCACTCCAGGCCAGCTCCATCTCACCACCCTGAGATCATGACCTGAGGTGAAATCAAGAGTCAGAGACTTAACCAACTGAGCCACCCAGGTGTTCTCGGTATTATTTTCTAAGTAACAGACTTGTTAATATTAATAGACCTCTTATTTTTTTTAATTATTATGTTATGTTAATCACCATACATTACAGTTTTTGATGTAGTGTTCCATGATTCATTATTTGCGTATAACACCCAGTGCTCTATGCAGAACGTGCCCTCTTTAATACCCATCACCAGGCTA